CGTAACTTATAAATCACCAAGCAATTCACCTTCATAAGATTTCCCCCGTATACGCATATATCAGAATTTGTGTTAAAAAGGCCATTACGCCAATCATAACAAGTGGACCGTATTCCAAATATCCTTCTAAACACTTTTAAATTCCTCGTAATTCCTTCTTTCGTTAAAAAGGTGTTAAAAAGGCTATGCCATTACGCCAAATATAACAAGTGGACCATATTCCAAATATCTTTCTGAACACTATCAAATTCCTCGTAGTTCTTTCTTTAGTATAACGATTTTTCCCTGTTTATACAGCTATGATTAAAACAGATTTAATGACTTTTATTAATTTGACTGTTCAATTACACATGTGGATCATCATATGACTACTTAAGGGGAAATGGTACACACTAACGGACATGAATACGATCCTCACGAATATAGTGCCGCCAGGGTAATGCCCGATTTTTTCACGTACTGAAAGATACCCGATAAAGTTATTTGGGAGATATATTTCAGTTTGGTACTTTTTATTTCCAGTTAAGGGGATGTGAAAGTGGCATCTTAAGAGTCAATCATTCATGAAACCTTTCTCCGAACTGGATGTGCTGAATAGTTTCAAACATTACAACGTGAATATGGAGGCTACAAGGAAGGCCCTGACACTCATGAAATTTTATTTTTTATAACAAATTTTTAAAAAATTGAAATCACATGTGTTTTAGGGCCTTCCTTATACATTCCATATTTATATTGTAAAGTTTTAATCGATTCGGTACCCCCAGTTTGGAAATAATTTTCATGGACAAGATCTCTGTGTAACCACTTTCACATCACCTTAAGAGTTATTCGGTAGTTTGAGTAACAGATATCTGACTGATATCTACTACAGCGCCATCAATGGGAGAACTTGGAAATGTTTTGTATAACCTACAGGCCACAAACGAGTATGACCTAACAAATTGGTTGCGAAGTTCACGCAAAATGAACGATAATTTTGCATTCAGTATGATAAACAATAAATGTACGATAGTTTAATCAAAATGTACATATTTTCAATTTTCCTTTCATTTAATACTGAACCGCAATAGCGTTAATTAATTAATATTAATAATACATATTCTGTGATTTTGACTCGTTAAACGTATCACTCATCCCAATATCATATAATAATAAAAAATTGTTAACTATTTTCTAAAAAAAATACTTCTACTCGGCAACTAGAGGATATTAAGTAAAAAAAAACATCAAATGGAAAATTTTCCGCCAGTGGACAGATGTATTTAATGTTCCATAATTCATAGAGTTAGCTACATCTCACGTTTGCAGTGTTACCAGACTGGCCGAAACATTTAACTATCTTCCAGATAGCAAACCTTACAGTTCAGTGAAATAAAAATTTTTACTCATCTGACAGATATTCTTATTCGGGGATATGAAAAAATCGGGCATAAAAAGGAAAGGCATACAAATCCGCCAGTATACTACTCAGCAAACTCCGAGTTGACCGTGCTGCCGCGTAACGGCAAACAGTCAAAAAACTTGTGACGTGTCGTGGTAACAAATAATTCAAAAGTTGCACAGACGCCCAGATTCTATGTTCGTGTTTGATGTTCTAAAGTTGGCGAACAATTACATCTCACATCTGGGAGAAAGAGAGACGTGTACAGAAAAGCGGGTACTGTAAGATATGGACAGAATACAATCCGCTACACAGGGTGCAACAGAACTGGTAGTCACGGTTCATATAGCCGTTGTCGAAAAAGCAGTCGAGAAGTCCTGTACTATTTTTTCCTACAGTGCATAATTTTCCTATAATAACTAATTGCAGCACAGCCAATCAATCGCGTTCGCCAACGGAAAGCATAGCGAAAAAGACGCCGATAGGGCTGCTACGCCGCAGACGGCCGAACACAGCACTACCGGCGTCTTTTCCGCTATGCCTTCCGTTGGGGAACGCGATTGATTGGCTGTGCTGCAATTATTTATTACAGGAAAATTATGTACTGTAGGAAAAAATAGTACAGAACTTTTCGACTGCTTTTTTGACAAGGATAGCGCTGTTTAAACCGTGACTACTAATTCTGTTACCCTCTGTATATCGCCATAAGATTAAGAGAGATGATTACAGCGTGCCATCTGTTGGCTAGCATATTATTTACCGAGCCGTATCTCCGCATCTTTCTAGACTTTTGTGGAGATTCATTAGCGGTAGTCGCGGCATTGTAATCAAGATGCTGATCGAATTATCATGCACCTGTACCCCAACATAGAGCGTTAGTCATCGGGCATCAGGTTTAATCAGAAATTTTATATTTTGCGTAAGGAAATAAAGACTCTATTACTACGAAATTCCATAAAAAACAGGTATCTGTTGTATCACAAAACAAAATAAATTAACATTTCTAAGTACCGATGCGTTTACTTATTGTATCTAATGGGAAATACTACAAGGATGCCGATAAGTACGGTCATGTTTTTGCTATTTTGCCAGGTCGCACCCTGCGCCTTCTCCAACGCGCAGCAACGTCACGACGTACACTAATGCTCCTAGCGGAAACACGCGGAAGTTTTATGCGAAGAAAATCTCGTTGACAGCTTCGTGTATTCGCATCCAAAAATATCGAGTTTAGCTGTTTTACAGCAATTCCCAGTTATAGTTTGAAGTTAATAGGTGTACAAATTTCTCTGTGTTGCCCCTTTTTTTATTTCATTAATGATCCTGTGTAACAATGCCGTAAGTGTTAAACGAATAACGGTAGAGGCCTTATTGCACCGCCATAATATTACTATTCAGAATACATCCTGTATAAACATTTTTGGGTGCGAAATTTCTCTAATTCCAACTCTCGTAGGTTTGAAAACACCCTCAGAGAGAATAATGTACCAATCCCCCTTAAATGTACGGTGTAACTATTAAACTTTCTCAGAACATTTCCAATGAAACCATTAAAGAAACAAATTAATTTCGTAATGCAATGCAATGCAAATGCAATACTATGCAAAAACATCTGTGCCCAAAACAGTTATTGTTAAATATAAAAAGATATCTTTACAGTTGCAACTATGTAATAAAGATAAATTCCATTAGAATATTTAACCCGTCCGAAATATTAAACTATTAAGCATTTTTTAAGGTAATACGAAACTGGCTTCTGAAGCGTTAAAACATTTATCAAAGTTTTCTCTGAACTGGATGCATTTGAAAATCTAACATGTGATTATGGAGGCCTTAAGGAAGAGCGAAACAACGTCGGCGTCGATTAAACTCTTCAGCGCCTTTCATATCACCTTAAGGTCAGTCTATACATATTTGAGAGGTCAAATTACTCGTAAAAGTATTCTCCGAGTTGAGTGTATCGACTAGTTTCAAATTTTACCACGCTAATATGGAGGCCCTAAGGTAGGTCCTGAAACTTTCAAAATTTAATTTCTTATAAAAAAAAATGTATTTATCATGGACTAGAAACAACATGGCGTCGTCGTACAGGTTTTTAATGCTTTATGCTTCTTGAAGGCTTAAAATCGAAAATTAAGAATTTCCGGACCTAATTCGATCACTTTAGAATTCCATAGAAATGAAATATTACTAACTCAGGTGGGAAAATATGGAAAATACTTTCACAAACGATTGCAAGAGAATACTCGCATGTCCCATGGGTAACACAAATTTTTAGGACGAAAATTTAGTTGCAACTAAACGTCACAGATGGCGACGTCAGTCTACTAGAGTATAAAAAATCATGAATCCTCGGGATTTCGACTGTTTTTTCTTCAATCTCTATAATTGTTCTACTGAAATGACACATGGAGCGCTTGATTTTGTATAATTCTCAACATAGAATGTAACAAACGTCAACATAAATATATAATGTCGGTAACATGGCGCGCCAGTTTATGCTACCACTTGAGTATCGAAAATCGCGTTACCACTAAAAAGGGTATAGATGAATTTTATTTTATCGACATCGATTAAATTTCTCGATGCCTTTCGCATCACCTTAATTCATGAAAAATGGACGTATAATAAACCAAATTTTATAATATTCAATACTAACGACTAGCCCTTCGGACAAGAGCTATTTTTCCGTTGTTTTGTCGACTTGCTTTACTAAAATCGTCACTACTAGGCTCGCTTTTGTCATAAATTAATGTTTCGTACGCTTAAACCTTCCTAAAGAGATGCTATATAAAATAAAAATCACGGCAAAATTCGTCCACTAGTACTCGAGATTAAAAACAAACACAAACAGACAACTATCATGGGCCCTGTTTCATACTATGTACAAATCTGATTATCACCTGTATAATAAAATTGCAACCATACTCTGAATATTACAATGATATATTACCCTTCAAGCAAAATTCTGTTGTTTTCAATGCAAACTTAGATTATAATGTCTCTAAAGTTGAGTATTATCATTCATGTTGAATTTATCATTGCTATGGTTACTAAGTAAAAAAATGACAAAATTAAATTAAATGTGTGTTTATTAAAACAAATGACGTGTATGTAATGTAAAAAGTATCCAATTCAAAATATAATTTACATAAAAGGTTCTCAGATAAGGATCTCATTAAAACTGTCAAATAGTGATTTATACGGTTAAAATAGTAGACATCAAATGGTAATTACCCTATCCTGCATTAACGCGAGTTAACAACCATATATCAATATTATCTATATTGTATACAAAAATGTTATCTTAATTTCAATGTAAATAATATTTTGCAAATGTATCGGAAAATTATTTTTATACATTACCGAGTACTCAGGGAAATTATCTCAATTTCGAAAATATTAGTAAACTAGACGGTAATTTAAGCTTCTGTTGTACGCGATGCGTTAAAAATTTGTGTAGGATATAAAACGATCATTACGATTTCCAACGCTGTCTTGCTGACCACGATTATATAAAATTGACAAATTAGGTTGAAAAGTTTGTGTCATGCATTTATACGTCCATTAACACCCGTGCAAAATTATAGTTTTTCGTTCTGTGAATTCCCATACCTACCCGGTGTGAGAGATGGCATGTCTGACTTCCCACTAAGGCCCAAGTAAACGAAAGCTAGAATTCCAAAAAATAGGGCCAGAACTACCACCAGCAAAACCGAGATCAAATTTTGATTATTTTTCACTTCGTCTTTACTGCCCACAGATGATTTATACGTCCTTCCAATATCTCGAAACCTGGACGATTTCATAAACCTTTAAATCAACAAGTAAAGAATTAATTACTAACAAAGCAAACATGATTCATTGATAGGAAAAACCGATATCAAAATGATCGTAAACTTTGCAATCTTTCTACCAAACTACTTTGCGAACATTTTGACAGAAAAAAAATAATTCTCATTAATCTAGCAGACTTAAGAGGATATGAAAGAGAGTCAGACTATACAATATATCTGAGAATTCAAATCGTTCGTGAAAGTATTCTCTGCATTGGGTGTACCGATTCGTTTCAGATTTTATCACGTGAATATGGAGGCCCTAAAGTAGGTCCTGAAACTCATGAAATTTCATTTTTCATCCAAAGTTTATTTACTTATCATGGACTAGAACCAACATGGCGTGGTCCGTGCACGTTTTTGATGTTTCACGCTTCTTGGAGGCTCAGAATCGAAAATGAAGAGTTTCAGGACCTAGCACGAACAATTTAGAATACCGTAGAAATTAAATATTGCAGAGTAAGGTGGGAAAATATAGAAAATACGTTCACAAACGATTACAAGAGAATGCTGGCTTGTCTCGTGGCTCGAATATGTGTTTTAGAGCATACATTTAGTTACAGCTAAACGTCACAGATGGCGATGTTGGTTCGTCAAAATATAAACAGTCATGAAATCATAGGATTTCGGCAGTTTTACATCGATCTTTTTATCATTACTTTACCGAAATGACATATAGAACCCTTCAGTTCGTATAATTCTCAACGTAGACTCTAAAAGACTTCAACATAAATATAAATGTCGGTAATGGGACGCTTCGGCTTATGTTATCACTTGAGTATTCAAAACGGCATTACCACCTAAAAGGGTATTTTACTTTATCGATGTCGATTAAATTTCTTAGCGCCCTTCATATCCTCTTAAGAGTTTGCATATTCAACAAAATGTGTAGTATTTATAAATGGTGTCTTCTGAACATTCCACATTCTTTAAAAATGTCAACGGTGCCAAAGATTTATGAATAAAAACTTTTAGATAGAAAAAATTGAATGGAATATTTGCAGGTATAACAATTTTATCAAAGTAAACCTGATATTTTACAAAACTGAAAACGTTTCTACAAACTGACATGTAAGTTATCTGATTTAGACGGTAAACTATGCCTAAAAATATTGATTAAATTGGATCCAAATTTTAAAAAGGCACATAATTTTAAGAATGAGAAGACCAGATAAGAGAATTAGTAGTAAAAGAGCATCCCTGTCACATTTACGTTTTACGCAGCTAATTTAATTTTAGTGTACATTAATTATATCATTGTAAACTATACTGATTTATATTACAATGTTACTATTAAGGGGACACGAAAGTGGCATCTGAGGGGTCGATTGTTTATGAAACTTCTCTGAACTGGGTGTACTAAATCGTTTCAAACTTTACAAATTGAATACGGAGGCTATAAGGAAGGTCCTGACACCCATGAAATTTCATTTTTTATAACAAATTTTCAAAATATCTATAAACAAATTTTTAAAAAATTGAAATTTCACGGATGTCAGGACTTTCCTTATAGCCTCATAATCACATTGTAAAGTTTGAAACAACTTGATACACCCAGTTCGGAGAAAATGTTCATAAATGAGACCTCTTTCATGCCACATTCACATCATCTTAATTGGAGATGTTAAACATTAGATGGTGATATATTACATAATAAAATAAAAGGTATGTATACCTTGAAGCAGACAATGGGTATAGTGATCGCAATGTAGAAAAATGACCATTCGAATCAGTTTCCTTTACTTCAGGTAAGCCAGCTGAAGTTCGATGTAAAGTGGGACCTTAAATCATAGAGTTAAACTGAAAAAAATGCATTTTAAAACCTAATCTAATCAAATCATACATTTATAGTTTAACGAATATAAAACCTACCGAGCATTGTGCATGATTATTAGAAAAATGTAACATTCTCTTAATATAAAATCGGCCAAACAAAACATGGAAAAAAAAATGTATTCTATAATGAACCATCAGTGACGAGACTCATTATGCGGCTACTGTTACTATTTCAAAAATCATGAATTATCAATAACTGTGATTATCATGTTATTTCAATAGTATTTGACCAAAACGTTCTAATGAGAAAATATATATTTGCATATTTCTTCAATTCTGCAGTATACCGTAAATTATTTTAATGACCAATCGTTCAAGATATAAAACAAAAATTGCATGAAGCGCTGCTGATATCCTTAACCTAAAATCACCTTTCCATTTATGAGCTAGTGATATACATGCTATCAATAACTTTTAGCTATGGAGAAAGATTTGGTAGTAATTTCTAATTAAACTCATCCTAAAAAGTGACGTCAAGTCTGTTAAGACATGATAATTCAACAGCAATAACTATGTCTTTCAGCAATACATACTCTGTACGCATTTCATTCTCACTTTTAAATAAAAAGTTTTGCAATTATTCTCCAAAACTAATCAAAATAATTTTTAAACATTTAAATCTTAAATATGCCTAACTTGAAAGTCCAAAGCCATTATATGTAAAAAAATCTCAGTCTTCTTGTGTGCATAAATATTTTTACAAATTTAACAAGATTAACAAATTATGCATATTTACCACAACCAAAATACTTACTTCTTACTGTAGATTTTGAAGCTGAAGGTAAGTTTACTGATGACTGTAAGCTGAGTCTTCTTGTGAACTCTGACAGATATGGAGTTTCAAAATTAGCAAGGGGATCATTACTGCTTTTATCTCTCACATAAATATCTTCTTTCATTGGCTGTATAGATGAAATAATTGGTTTGTACGAAGGTGATGAATACTTATCATCCTTTACAGAATAAGAGGATGTCGATTTCATATCATAAGGTTTTGAGGGCTGGTCTGAAATTGGTAAATCATGATCTCGCTTCCCGAGTTCATACGAATTAACAGGACTCGTTTTATGAATGGTCTGGCTCCGATTTTTATCTACTTCTTCCATAATGTCTGAATCAGAGCCTGTTTCTAATCCATCGGTGGTACTCGAAACATTATAAGCTCTTGTATACTTTTTGTGTACCGTTTTTACAATCGAGTGATTCGATACTTGTAATGGATGGTCCCCAAATTCAGACTCTGATAAACTCTTTGACTCTGGATCCTTTGTAGCTGTCCTACGTTTGGCAACACTTCTGGATACAATAGAGGGAGCAGGTGACGGGACTGCAGAAGACATGGGTGGAGGCATCGGATTTGCCATCGTCTGCCTGCGCAAATTGGTTTTCTTTTTTCGTGTTGCAGTGCTGCCATCATCGTCCGTGTCATCGCTGCTATACCTAGAGTATATTTAACTCGTTACATAAAACAATTTTAATCTGCACTAACTGCTATTATATTTAAAACTTAACAGAATCTTTCTCCGATTAGCCTTCCTACCCAAATACTTTTTACAAATTTAAAATAAACTATTTTTGTAAATCAACTGTAAATTTGTTTCTAAACATTTACAATAAAAGACTAAGGACAAAACTAGAATGAGTATGTCAAGATATAAGAACTAAAATAATATTAAAAATAATTCATATTTTAACTTGTCCATTAATTTATAAAACCACTTAGTCCAATGTATATTGTGATTAATTAACCTTTAGCACTCCGCGAGTTTTGGAACGTTATGATGAATGTCTCCTTAAAGGAGCCAACGGAGCGCTAATGGTTAATAAATATCAGTTTGCCTCGTCATATAAGTCTTGGTATAATGAAAAAATTAATTTGAAATGACATTTTAAAACATAATAAAGAATTAGTTATTGCCAAGATAATTCATTAAACCGTAAAAACGTGGCTTATTCTTGTCGATTTATGATACTGCCCTTAACTTTATGCACATATACATCTCCCTTAGCTAATCCGATTAAAGTCTTGGAAAGGATCGTTAAGAGCAAGAGGTTAAATTATTTATTAATAAATGACTTAGTACGATTGCAACGACTAATGTTCATTATATATAATATTAACACATTAAATGTTACGATGGTTCCACGGGACTGATATTAACTTTCCATCGCGATGGCATCGATGCCGTGTAACTAACATAGTGTCAAAATGTCATATGAGAACAATTATACCACTTTAATTTAAAGCACATCAAAACTAAGGCTGCATTTAACGCATTAATCGTTAAACAAAATCTGTTAAATTTTAAACTTAACACATTCACATTGGGAAACAAGAATTCTCGTTCTTAAAAGATAAGCGTTGAAAGATAGCCCAATGCGAATGCGTAACATAGTATTGTCATCGTTATATACGTCCCATGAAAAATAAAACGCAATTAAAAAGTCAACCGACTCCGAGTTAACTCGACCAACGGGGCATTGTGATCAAAATCTTAGTTTTTTATATACGTCACTTGATAGAAGATTTGGGGTAGTCGAAATCATAACATAAGACAGGAAAGAGAGTGGAAATGAATATAAACATTGTAGACACCTGGCAGCCAAAGAATGCCTCGATCCCGTACCGCCGCGAGTCTCGATGAGATTCTTAAGTTTCCTAACAAGAATCTTCCTAGTAGTCTGGGTGACCGGACCGACCGGGTAACCGTACTCAGCGAGTTTGGTTCTCAATTCGGAATCGCTGAGCGCTTCCACCGACATTTTGCCGAATTGAATGAAAATAACCGTAGCACCCAAACAGCGTTCACCGAGGTTAGAATTTTATGGAACTCGCAGATTTTCCAACTCCGCCTCGGCATGCACACTTGAGGAAACGAGAACCACGAGAATACGCCTCAGCGTTCATTCGACTTCCAGGGCACAACGAATCGACGTTGAAGACGCAACGCTTAATTTCGTCGCGTGCGAATATATTCGCCGGGAAACAATCGCGCAGCCGCCGAACCACGGAATCAGCGCAAAACGACCTTTCCAAACGCCTCTGTTTCCACTGAATCTAAAAAAATGGCGCACTTTTCCAACGGACGCTACCGCCAAAGAATTCAGAAGTCAACATCATAAGGACAGAGATGAGTTGGGAGATTGCTCAAGGGCAGGGTTAAGCTATCACGTTCTGTGCTGCCCTCGGTGGAGAATGCGGGCGGTTCGTGCACTGCTATGCTGATGCTACCTGTCAGGCGTCATTGGCGCTCCACTGAAATATATACTAATCTGAAACTCTCGCCAAAACTCGAGTAGGATTGAGTAGGTATAATACGTCATGTAATATACGCGGTTTTCTCCGCGTATATTACAACGTATAATACGTTTTTAGTATTCTACACGAGCGCAAAGTAGGTAGGTAGTTAAGTGGAAGGGAAAAGAACCGAACTGAAAGATATCTTCCGGATAACTTTGTCGGGAACTTATCCGTAGGTCAAAAAATCGGACAGTAGTCTCATATTTCAGTGCAACTCTCGCTGTTGCGTGAGAGTAAGCAATGACAGATGGCACAACCATCAGGGGTGCACCTATTACCACGAGAGCTGTCAGGTGGCAGCACCATCGTTGGCAGTGTGGCGGGCCCGGGACGAAGTCCGGCCATCGACCACCAGGGGCGTCGTGCGCGACGAGCGCGATGCGTTCAGGACGGGGCAAACTGCGTTACCCCGTGCACATTACTGTACTTACCTGAAACGAAAAGACGACTACGTCGAAAAATGTTTTAAAACGGTTGAAAATCGAGAAGAAGACTTGGTGACCAATTCTAGAGCGCACGTAGAAATCCGCTCCTTTTTCTGTGATAATAAAGCAATAACTATAAATAAAGTGGTAAAATATATTTGACAATTCCCACAGCAGTCGCTGTCTATTGCCCACATTCTCCACCGAGGGCAGCACAGGATCGCGATCCCGTCTCCCTGCCCGGGCGTAATCTCCCAACTCATTTCTGCTTAGTATCTGGTCGTAATTAGATGTAATCAAATGGCAAAGTAGTGCATTCTAACCTAGATAAATTGCTGTTTTGATGTATTATTGGACCAGTTGCTCCTGACAAACATTGTATAAAAGAAAAGAGAAGAAGAAATTCTGTGTAGTAGGAAAACAGAAGATTCGAAACAAAAAATGGCTTGTATCCAAGACAGTAAGTATTACGAATACGCGGAACGAATGTTATTAGTTTGTTACTATTAGTGCAAAACAGTTTGTACCTAGAGCTTTCAAAGAAGTTTACACGTATATTAGTTCACAGTTATACACACGGTTTTTATATTTACTGACTGCGACACACACGCGCATACACGCACACACACCACACAAAATACACAACTGTTTTGGTAAAAGTTAAAATTTATTGTATTGATGCACTTAAAGTGATGTGAGAGTGATATTTGAAAGGTCAACTTGTTCATGAAAGTTTTCTCCAAGTTGGGTGTTCCGATTCATTTCAGATTTTAACACATAAATAAGGAAGCCCTACAATAGGTTTGGAAACTCGTGAAATATCACGTTTTATAAAAGAATTGGTTTATGTGCCATGGACTACACAAACCTGGCGTTGTTCATGTATACTTTTGCTATTTTACACTTTTTGAAAATCTGGAATTGTAACCGAGGAGTTTCAGGTCCTGGCTCAAACCGTTTAGAATTCTATGATAATAAAATATTACAGAGTCAGATGGGAATATATGGATAATACTACAAGAACGATTGTAAGAGAATACTGGCTCTCTGTTTCCGCTCTCCTAGAGCAAAAATTTAGTTGCAGCTAAATGTGACAAATAGCATTGTTAGTTAATTACGGTATTAAAAATCACAAATCCAAAGGATTTTATCAGTATTATTTTGATCTCTTTTTAATAATTCTACTGAAATTACATAGAGATTACAATGTAGTACTTTATTTTGTATAATTATTAATGTAGAGCGTAACCGACGTTGATGTACATATAAATGTTAGCAACATGGTGTGCCAGTTTGTGTTATCATTTAAGTATCCAAAATGGTGTTACCATTGATATGGGCATGGATTCTTTATTATCAAAAAATGTTACCAGCTGCTTGTTACCTTTTAATAATAAAACTACATACAACAGTATATAACTTACATAGCTCTAAGATTTCTTATAAAAATATTAATTGTTTCTTAATCCCTTTAATGAATCGTGTGAATTTCAGGGTTAAAGCTGAAACGTACTACATGCGACACATGGAGTACACGAGAACAGTTATGCCTAGCATCGAGCGTGTTAAAATCAGGGGACCAGAACTGGATGAGTGTGTCTCGGTCCTTAAGACCATTCGTCGAAAAGGAAGCATTACGTCCACCAGACTGGTTTTCCCAAAAATCTTGTGCCATTCAATATGCACATTTGTTGGAAAACGCGGATACTCCAAAAAGAAAAAAGAGAGAAACCACTGAAACGGCAGGTGAAACAATTGTCAGACGACTGACCCAGGAACGAATAGCAGAGCTGGGGCAGATTTTAGCGTTCCAAAGGGATGAGTATCAACAGCTAAAAAATGAGGTCAATCTTCTAAGATCTGGATCAATAACTGAAGAAAAGTTACAAAAAATGTGGTTAGCCATTATGCAGGAAGAACGAGAACAAGAACAGAAAGCTAGAGCTCACTCGGCGTGGCTAGCGAAGCGTCAACAGAAACAAGAGTTGCAGTCTCGACAAGTGATAATAGTTGGTTCACATAGGAAATATGGAGGAGAAAGTACTGCCGATGGTAAAGAGATTATGGATTCACTGAACGAAGACGACGAGGAGAAGAAAAACAAAGGAGGCAGATCGCCTCTGTTAACGAGTTTACTAAAATCTCCCAGTCCTACGACCCAGGTCCAAGCTTCCGCATCATCCACTCAAGTCGTACCTCCCACGATAGCTAGTTTATTAGGGTCTAGTCCTAAAGTCCAAACCTCGCCTATGACACATAACGTCTCATCCCAATTACATCAATTCGTAACAACGTCATCAAATGCCCCGATGGAAAGACCATCCATAGGTGCTCCGACTCTGTCCATGCTGCTAGAATCACCTTCTAATGCAGAGAAAATCTCTGCCGCCAATTTACAAACAAGCACCAACTTAACACAGCAAAATCTAGCTGTAGAAATGCAGGTTCGATCCCATGCCATTCATACTCCGAAAACCCAAAACAATGTAGTTCAACCTCCACCGGTTACTATCGCACCAGCTTCTATTCCAATTTCGCAAAGCATGGTTCAAATAATAGACCATATAGACGACGTTATACATAAAGATATAATGGCAGATGTAATAGACAAGGATGAAATTAACGAGATTATCGGTGACATAGAAGAATTGATCAAAGGTGACATTAGCAGTAGCACATCGGAGAGCTTGAGCACTAATGCTCCTTCGGTTATAAAAAATTTAACTACATCGGAGATAAACGAAGTTGTGACACAAGAACGACGACAACCCAGAGATGTAGATGAATCCGTGTCTCTGTCGAACTCGCCGCAAAGCGAGATGGCAATAGAGGAGATAGACTCGAGTACGTCGAATATTGCTGAAATTATCGGCTCGGTAGCTATTGAACTCATAGAGCCGAAAGTGGTTAAAGTTGCAAGAGTAGATGAAGCGATTGAGAATGATGCACCGAAGGATGTAGCTGAACCAGATGAAAATGATGCTTACAGAGAAATAACTGCTTTGGAAGATGCTGTGATGAATGAGACTAAAAATTCTGAAAATGTCGACAAAGTTGCAGTCGTAGAAGAAAATTTACAGATAAGTGTGGACGAAGAAAAAGATGTAAAAAAAGTTATTGATGTACATTCAGTGACAACCTCAAATGATATTAAGGAAAGTGATGCGATAACTTCAGAAAAGGCGGATGGGGAAAAAAACGATACAATAGAGTCACAAGAAGGAAAGGATTCAGCTGTCTCCGTGATCGAAAGTGACTCTATCACCGAAGAGAAAGCTGCTATGGAGTTGGACCAATTAGAAATACATCTTGCGAAAATAATTGGCCATCAAGAAGAAGTGTCAAAAGCAGAAGTCGAAAATACAGTTTCTGCACCGATTAATGATATTCCAAATGTAGAAGAGGCTGATAACAAATCACAAGACATAAGCTTCATTTTAGAGGATGACCAGAATTCCCGTGGATCAGTAAGTAATAAGAAACCAGAAACGAGTTCCATTGTAGGAGTAAGTATAAATCAGGCGAAAGATTCCGAAGAAACGGAAGACAATAAAGATTTAAATGAAAGATGTGAATCAGAATGCAAAGTAAACGAAAGTGATACATTGAAATTGAAAGATGATAACGGAGAAGTACCTGGTAAGAATGAAATTGAAGACGCGGAAAAGGAAGAAGATAGTAAAGACTTTTATGATAATTCAAATTCCAATGACGAAAAAGTGTTAGTGGCAGACAAGGATATAAGCGAAACGGAAAGGATCGAAGAAACGCTTACTGAAATTTGCACAGAAACTCCAGAAGAGGAATATCTCAGCGAAGATTTACAAAAGGAAACTTTTGCAGAGATTATGGAAAACAAACCCATTGCAACTTTAGAGACGTCACCGCTTCCTAAGATTGACTCGTTGAAAGAAGAAATAGAAATTAAAGAGGACATTGCCCAGCGTGAGTATGGAACAACGCAGTCAATGAAAATTAAGATCGATACCGATGAAAACGATGCAAAAGAAGTGAAGGATGGGAAAGAAACAAAGGAAATAAGTAAAGAGTTTTCGGAAATCGATCCAATTGTTAAAAGAGAACCTGCGGAGTCAATTGGTAGTACTGGAGATGATATAGGAGAATTGGATGAAGAAGAATCAGGTTTAAGCAAGTTGACGGGAGGACGAGCAATGAAGACATATTCAAAAAAGCAAAATGTATCCATTGATAGTGAACCGGAGAACGAAGGAAGTGGGGAAGGTGCAGATTATAGAGCATGGAAGAAAGCTGTCATGTTAGTGTACAACCGACTTGCTACGCATAAATATGCTTCAGTATTCTTAAGGCCGATTACCGAGGATCAGGCTCCTGGTTATCATTCAGTTGTTTTTCGTCCAATGGATCTATTAACGATTAAAAAAAACATCGACAATGGAACGATAAGGTCCACCTCTCACTTCCAACGGGACGTCATGCTTATGTTTCAAAATGCTATAATGTATAATAAGCATGATACGTTTGTATATAAAATGGCAATTTCTATGCAAGAGGAATGTTTGCAACATATGCAGGTATATGCTTTACTTTTTGACATCTTTATGATACTATATTTACTCCTCTTTATTTCAAGGCTCATCTTTTTTAAACATGTTACAACTTATTGGTTACTTTATTCCAATTTTATAACAAGGAGAGGATCAGGTATGGTTGTCTCAGATTTTCGCAACGCTTTGTCATTTTGTAGTCCTTAATGTATAAAATAATTAGCCAAAAGGATAGTGCGCACCTCTCAGGAATTCTCAAGAAATAATCGTTTAAATACTAGTATATACCTTATAAGGACATCACTAGTATCTATCTTATAAAGACATCAACTCTTGAAGCGGCTGGTAACCTAATGGAGAAGGAAGATTTTCCACAACGCTATTAACCGCTTTGAGAGTTGCCATTAATCCATATCCTTGTAAGGTTTATACTATATATTTAAACGATTACTTTTTGAAAACTTCCGAGAGGTGCATACTATCCCTTTGACAAATAGATTTATCCATGAGAACAACAAAATAACAAAGTATTGTGAAAATCTGAGACAACCATACCTGATAATCTTGTGAAATATACAGTTTAAGGTTTGGTACTTTGTTTGCCGAGAGTACACAGACTGAATATTTGAACATTCTTGTAAATTACTTTGCAAATTATTTAAATCTTTTAAAAGTTACTGAAATACTGTGTACTTATTCTTTTTAATAATTTTTTATTCTTAACACATTCGCATCAGGCTAATTTGAACACTTATCTTTTAAAAACGAGAATTCTCGTTTCCTAATACGAATGTGTTAATAAAGTGATTAAAAATGTTAATTTAGTTTCAATTCTTAATTTATCAAACAATTCGATGCCCAATATCTTTATTGTCTCTGAATAAATATTAACAATATCACGTTATTGTAGATTTTAGTACAAGTAACTGGAGAAGGACCATTTAGAAGAGAAACTAGAACCGCAGCGAGTAGCAGCAGTGAAATCAGCGAATCTAGTGTAAAGAGGAAACGAAGCCATATTACACCCAGCCCACATGATACCGATAGTCCTCGTACTAAAAAGCGCAGAAAGTCTGAAAATGATTAATATGATACTCATAAATGTTAGCAATGAAAGTTGCTTTTTATAAATAACTAATCAGGTATAATATTTGATTCTGTTCATTGCAAACAAAAACTGTGATGTAATCAAATTTGTAATGAGTCTGAGAATGTACAAATTGTTAATAATATGTATTATCTCTTTATTTTACTTAGACTTGCTTTAACTATTAACAGATACCACTTGTATCGAGCAGGAATTAACTGATTTTATTTACTTAATAAGTAACAAATACATTATCTGCACTTCATAAACACATTTTTTGCGGATAATAGTATTTATTAGTTTCCCACACATTTAAGCTGACATTTCATTGTCAGCGATAAGCTATGAAATACGACAAAGTGGTTTTGATTGAGCACGTCTCCATCACACTCCTAAATCCGAGATTTATCGGGTCCGGAGTCAGTAAATCTGAATTTAAATGTCAATCGAGACGCTCGGGATCAAATGGCGTATTTTTCATACGATGGAAACGTGTAATTTACTGGATCTGGACCTGATAAATTTCGAAATTTAGAAGTGCGATGGAAACGGGGTCCTGCAGATTCGATTCTGAATGTCTTGGTTACAGATTTCTACACTGAATGTGTGGAATTCGCCATATTGGAAACGTAAAATTCTAAACAATTTTGAATACAAGCGCCAATTTAATTAATTGTTCCTTAAAATATTTCTGTGTTTACATATGCTAAAAGACGTTTATAACCTAGCCGATGCTGTATATCGTCCATCTGCGGTATTCTTTAAATTGGAAACATAATTTACTGGTTGTCAACGATTTTCTACGGTAAATTACTTGGTTTATGTAAGATACGTGAAAAACGTGGAAAAACGCAAAATTACCAACCCTGGTTAGAGCAAACGAGAAATATGAAGCAGGTGATCTACCGATCAGGAGTCTGGAAAATTGGCTGACCAATATGGCGATCCTACAGCTCCCTTTCCAATGCGTAGACTTCCCTCCGTGATCGAAGATGGGACTTAGGCCATATATATCTAGTCCACTGTTTCCACTGCTATGCGAGGTCTAGATATTTATGGTCTAAGAGATGGGACCTTCGGCTTCGTGCATATATTCTTACGTCCATGCTCTTTGCAGTTGGTCACCAATGGCCGACTTGAAGTAATTTGTATGATTGTGACAAAGGATGCTCTGTTTGACATCATGTCCTCTAGTGCATATGAACTTTCATGAGATTTTTATTAAATATTTTGGGACATACGGAGGCTTGAAAAATTATTTTCTGAGAAGAAGAGTTTGACAAATTTCTTAATGGAGTTTATAGACTCACATGTGCACAAAGCATGTAGAATGAAATAAATGAACGTTGCACGTTGTGAAAATTACTTACTCTTTGAAACAGTGATTTCGTTGAGCCATTTGAAGGGTCGCTATAAAATACAAAATGATAAATATGAATAATCGTAGGCGTATACACAGTTTCACTTATGTCAGCTCTTGTGTGAAATACATGATCTTTATACTTAATTTTGTATTTTGGGTAAGTCAGTTACCAATTCAGTTAACTATTCTTAATAAGTGAATTGTAAATTTATGTTAATTATTAAGCATGCCCCAAATTTATTCTCTACCGATATTAATGTAACTATTTCAAGTTCTTTATGCATAATTTCTCTGTATCCATAATTGTATTTTTTAGAAACCATATCCTTTAACACACCAAGAATGATCTTAGATGATTTTTTAAGTTAGTAGTTTACGATACATATTTACTGCTATTACTGAATTCTTCATTTATATTCGTTCATCCTGATATTAATAAATGCGTCTCAAGAAAACTTTTATTTAAAAAACTGACAAAAAAGATACTACAAAGTATGAAATGATGATGTGCAAATTACTTATCTGCTAACTATTGTAGATATCTAAGTATTCATTGTTTAGAATGTTAAAATTTGACGGAAAAAGAAATGAAGTGTATCAGTGTCTTCAGTTTTATATTCTATTACTTTTTATATTTTGCACCGACTTCAAACTTTCCAAGCAAGAAATACATAAAAATCTACAGTAGTTAATAAATAAGTATTTTGTACATGTTTGTCAATTTACTGTTGTTACTTCTTTCATGACGGTTTTAAAGTTTTAATTATATGAAATAAAAGAGACTAATTAAAAGAAAAAATAACTCCATCAAGGTACGGTTATTGTCAACCGTTTCTGATTTCCTTTATTTATGTTTGGATTTTAAGATTGGATCATTAGGAAACTTACATGGGACCACCTTGAAAGTGTTCGCTTTAAGACAAAAAAGAATCATCTAAATCGGTTAACTTGAGGAAAAGTTATGCATAAACGTACACGAAAAAAAAAATATATGGGATAAATTGAAAACCTCGTCTTTTTAAGTTGGTTAAACATTATTTAGTTTAGCGAACTGATACTATTATAGTTAAGTAATCTTCACATTTATCATAAATCTAAAGTCATTTAATTTAGTAAATCAAACTGTTTAAAGAGTCTTGATATTCTTCTTGTAATGCACCATTTCTTTCATATTCTATCTTACACATTCTCGTGATCTTTATCGGTATTATAATAGTCTTAACTTTTCTAGTTATTTGGAGGACTATTGATCGGAGTTGGCTTGTATGCCTTTGTGGATAAATGGCAAGCTACGGGATCTGTAAGAGTGGAGAATGTTTACGATGTAGTTTTAAACATTTCCCTTGTGATGGTGATCGCAGGAGGTGTTGTTTTTATTGTTAGTTTTGCAGGCTGTGTAGGAGCCCTTCGTGAGAATACTTGTCTTCTAAAATTTGTACGTCTACAATTGTATTAATATAAAAAAAATAATCACAAGCAATTATTTTACAAAACTTAATCTGTCTTAATTGTGTTTCAGTATTCATGGTGCCTACTCGCCTTCTTCCTCCTCGAAATGGGCGTAGCTATAGTGGGTTTTGTATTCCCCCATACTCTGCAATCTTTGTTAGAGGAATCATTTACTGACAAGATTATACAGATGTATCGGGAAGACCCTGACCTTCAAAATTTTATTGATTTTGGTCAACAAGAAGTAAGTATTTTGAATAAGTAATTAAAATAGTGGGACCGGAAGTTCCTGAAATGATTTGCGGTAGACAATATTTAGGGATCTGCTTAAAAATATTTCATTTTTTACTGAAGAAATTTTGGTTTAATGCATATAAAACTAAATTCTAATGGGTGGATCATTACGCACTGCCATCTAAAATATTTCATTATGCTTTGATTTAATAAAAACATGGTATATAAAGTGTATAGCTCACAGTTGATGACAATGAACTTTTCTAATATGTTACTTGACTTAAAAGGGCTTAACGAATGAAAGTATTTTGATTTTTCGTGTCCTATATTTTTGGAGATGACAAGTTGAACTCTTTTAATAGTACCATATATTTTTCTTTAGGGGCCATATTCGTGCCTGGGGTTAGAAAAACCTAACTTTTGTTTTTTACATTTTTCAAAAGGCACATATCGTAGAAATATTTTAAGAGTAAAGCAAATCTAAAATTTAATTATTCATAAAGTTACAACTATTTAGCAAAACGAGCCGGACCATTTCACATGCCAGTTTTTCAGTGTGTTAACGAAATGGCAGCCTGGTCCAAATTGAATTTAGAGAACTGAATAGGGTAAATAATGAGAGTATAAAACTACCGCAAATATTTCTGTGGAATAGTGTAATTACAAAATCTGCAATTGGCTAACTAAGGATTACAAATATTCCCTTTTGTCTAACTTCAAAACTCGTCTAAAACTTTGATCGTTTCTCTCGAAACTGCATGTTGTTAAGATGGGAACCGTGATAACTGCTCCACTGTTCAATTGATTAGTTTCATCTTTTACACACGTACTCTAAATAAGATTAGTTATCAACTCATGAGCGCATTTTTAAATAAACTGTTAAGAAATAACCTTCAACTCCAGCAATCGTATTTTCTTAGTACGTCCTTTGAACATTGAGAATGTATATTCTAACATTTTGATTCATAGGTACTTCATAATAAATAGCGTAACTTTCTGTATATATTATTTAGTGTTTGTATTTGTTATAATATTGTGCCATAAAAATTGATACACATCGTGACTGCACATTCTTTCGTAACACATTAAAGATGTTGTGTTTTAGTTCAAATGCTGTGGGCTGAGTCAAGAGGGCCATATGGATTGGGGAAAGAATGAATATTTTAATTGCTCCAGTCCCAGTGTAGAACGTTGTGGAGTGCCATTTTCATGCTGTATGAATGCAACCGATATTTCTGTAAGTATGACATTTTGTATGGGAACAAACCATTCATTTATAGGTAGGGTGACGGGGTTTCTTTTACTTTCCTGTACATACGGGATCGCAAAAGAAATCGCCAAATGAACTGTCACGTTTCATCAGTGTCTACCCTGATGAAGCGAACTGCAACGTTTGCGAAACGTCGGCCCTCTGGAGACAATGGACGCGGGTCATTCTCGAAAGCCACAACAAATTTAAGAAATAATTCTGACCGCGGAAGCTTAACCACTTGCGCTATAAAGACGTGCCACGCACGTTGAGATGCTTTTGTTCCAAAACTGCCAGCGACATGTATACCACGTCGATAGAGGATGTTATATTGTAGAGCGCCGCAAGGCAACCGAAAGTTAAATCGTAGCGCAAGTGGTTAAAATCTTCAAAATTTGTATTGTTTATATTAATGTGATATCCGATATTGTCGAGGGAGAGCCGACAAATTGCGCTGCGTATCTTCCGAGGGAGGAAACTTCAAAGGTGTCGACATAATTCCTGGAACGACTGGCGAGCAGCAAATTCTTGGAATCGAATGACGGCGGCAAATTCGGGGAATCGAATGGCGGATGACAAATTCATGGAATCGAATGGTTGACGAGTCGGTGGAAACTTCTCGAACGTTCTCAAAACGTTGCGTCGAATTGGGGAGGGGGTCTCTAACATGTGTGTGTGTCCGTGTACGTGTGCAGTTGACCGCATCTTGACCGCGTTGTCACGTAACGGAAGTAGTGGCAAAACTTATGACGTAACAAACGCCATTACTGTGCCGTACCGTGACAGTCATAGTCCCCGAATTTTTTAAATCAAGCAGCTGCATTCCAGTAATATCGAACGTTAGAGTAATTGGACACCGGGTCCCAATAAAAGTTTCATACAACACGTAATGATATAAAGATTTTGCTTCTAAGAGATTCAATAGAAAATATCCATTGTTCCAAAATACTTAACAAAATTATTCGACATTTGTAAGTTTTGTGCCTTTTCGTGGTGCGTGTACGTATTGCATCTAATGAGAAATCATAGAAAGGCCCCAATAAGTATGGCCATGTAACGGGCTGTCTTTGCCAGGTCGCTTTTACTGCGCCTCTACAGCGCAGCGACCTCCCGACGTACACTAGCGCTCGTAGCGAAAATTTGCTGAAGTTCTATGCGAGGAAACTTCCACATGGACGGCTTCACATGTTCGCATGAAAAAATGTCGAGTTTGGCTGTCCAACAGCAATTCTCGGTCACAGGGTGCAAAGTTGACATATATAAAACTTTCCTTGAATTTATCGACGTGAATAAATTTGATCGATGTCTGTAAAAAAGGTTCTTGTAAATACCTTCGTTGCCGACGTTCGTATTTATATCGACAGCCGTGCTGAATTGTATTGGGTATAGTACTAAATGGCATACTCCATATGTCGTTTCCGTACAATAATTATAAAAAAAAACGAAGTAAAACTCCAACAATCTCCTAGATTCACGGTTTTTGATGTCTAGCGCGCGATCCTCTTCTTGGTGGTAATGCCGTTTTGAATACTCAAATGGTAACATAAGCTGGCGCGTTCCATTACCGACATTTATATTTATGTTGAGGTCTTTTACAGTCTACGTTGAGAATTATACGAACCGAAGGGTTCTATATGTCATTTTGGTAAAGTAATGATAAAAAGATCGATGTAAAACTGCCGAAATCCTATGATTTCATGACTGTTTATATTTTGACGAATCAACGGCGCCATCTGTGACGTTTAGCTGCAACTAAATGTATGCTCTAAAAACATGTTCGAGCCACGAGACAAGCCAGCATTCTCTTGTAATCGTTGGTGAAAGTATTTTCTATATTTTCCCACCTTACTCTGCAATATTCCACTTCTACGGTATTCTAAATTGTTCGAGCTAGGTCCTGAAACTCTCCATTTTCGATTTTAAGCCTCCATGGAGCGTGAAACATCGAAAACGTGTCCGGATGTTCCTGGCCATGTAGGTTCTAGTCCATGATAAGTAAATAAATTTTGAATGGAAAATGCAATTCGTTAGCTTTAGGACCCACTTTATGACCTCCATACTCACGTGGTAAAATTTGAAACGAATCGGTACACCCAATTTGGAGAATACTTTCACCAACGATTTGTCTTCTCAGACATATATGAGCTGACTCTTTCACATCCCTTTAACTCATCTTGACATCGAAGTCTCTCTAAATGTTCAGCCCAGTCTCTAGTAATGTATTCTGTTCCTTTGAAAAAATCTTTCAGCTTGGCTCCGTAAGGTTCTAATTTCTATTTTTGTATTTGCAGAGCGGACTGGTAAACATAATGTGCGGTTATAAAGTACAGATGCTCCCTGTATCCGAGGCTAGCAAAAAGGTCTGGACGAGCGGTTGTATAGAGATCGTCCGCAGTTGGGCAGAGCGGAACCTTTACACTATAGCAGGCATCGCCCTAGGAATTGCTTTGAGTCAACTTTTCGTCATATACTTGGCGAAGACTTTGGAAGGCCAAATAGAGCAACAGAGGGCAGGCTGGTCTTCCTGAGCCTGACCACCGACCACCTACCGCTATAGGACCAGTTCATCCGTAAGCAGGCAGGTGGTCAGTCCGCGATTGGAAGATCAACGATCGGAACAAGAGTCGCAGACTAGTGTGAATGCCCGAATGGCGTTGCTCGTCCTCTTTGCTATCATTCTTTACATACTTTGCATGTTATCGCTGGTTAAACTCGTTTCCTTTTTCAAGACTTTCTTCCTTTCGTATCTTGGAAGACATTAATCTCTTCATTTCGTTGTACGAACGAGTCTGTGAAAACAATATGCGGTCTCAGATGTAATCTGCTACTCAGGTTCAGGCACTGAAGAATTGTGATGTTATATCCGTATATGTTTTCTGCTTTAATATTATTCACTGAAAACCTATTACAAATTGCTAAATCTAGCAAATTCATATTGTAAGTTTTTTTTTTATTTTGTTCAACGTCATTAAGGGGGAATTCTCGTGTATCGTTTTTAAAAAGTAATTTTATTTTTTAAATTGAATATACAATGTCTCTAAAATATGCACACATTTTAAGATCGAGATAATGATCTAAGTTACAGTCATTTTAGTGAGATGCGTTAGATTATTAATTACGACGAACTAGTCGTTGTCTTTACAAATGTAAAAATATCCGAAACAACTGTAAATATAACCGAGTAACGCACGTCAGAATTCCTCAGTTATAATATGCGTGCTGCCAAATGCACAACACTTTGTTTCCTGATTAAATTTTTAAATAGAAAATAAAACATAGGTCTGAGTGGACCGAATCATTTGAAACTTTAGCACGTGATAATGGAGGTCATAAGAAAGAACGCGATGCTCATGAAATTTCATTTCGTAACAAGGTTTTTAATTTATCCCAGACTAGAATTAAAGACGCAGTTTTTTTTATATTTCATGCCTTTTGAAAGCTTAGAATCGAAAACAAAGACTTTCGCGTTCTAAGCATAAGGCGATACGAAAGGCATCGAAAAATTTAATCTACATCGCGGTCGGTAAATTAAATTTCTGATATACCATCTAAATAATAGATTATCTGAACCTGCGTGCCACATTAATGACATTTATATTTATGTTGCTGTATATTGCATTATGTTGCGAATTATACGGAATGGCATATTCCATGTCATTCCAGTTGAATGATCATGAAGAGATTACGGCAATACTCAAGAAATTCCCTGGATTCATTATTTTTCATAGTTTAATCGACACTATGGCTCCGGATAAACTTTTTCCCCTTTTTGGGGGTTTAAATGTATCATTTCCTATGACCGTAGTGCTTTTAATGACTGAGCATGACTTCTGACGCTCCCAATTATTCCTCTTGAATTTTCTGAATGTGAATACTCGCAAAAATAAATAGCGACTTGGTCTATGCTTAATATATAAATTTGTTTTCAAAAAATACATTTTTTTTCGTCAGGAACGGTTTTAGTACCTCGACAATCACATATTAAATTTCAAACGAATCGGTTCATTCATCTTTAAAAAAAAGCGTATCCGTGATCGTTAAAAAATACCTTTCACATGATTATAAGAAATTAGAACACTACAGTAAACGAGCAGATTCACGCGTAAAATACGGAGAAAAGTATTATAAACATGTGTAGTGAAATTCTCTGATATCCCGTGAGCAACACGTAAAGTAATGACAAAAAGATCGATATAAAATTACCGAAATCCCATGAATTCACGACTGTTTATATTTTGACGAACCAATGTCGCCATCTGTGACGTTTATCTGCAACTAAATTATTGCCCTAAAAACACGCGTTAGCCTCAGGGCAAGCCTCTTGCAATCGTTGGTAAAAGTATTTTCCATATTTTCCCATCTAACTCTGTAATATTCTATTTCTACGGTATTCTAAATTGTTCGAGTTAGGTCCTGAAACTCTTCGTTTTCGATTCTAAGCCTGCAAGAAGCGTAAAACATCGAAAACGTGCCCGGACCTCGCCATGTTGGTTCTAGTCCATGGAATGTAAATAAGTTTTTGATGAAAAATGAAATTTCATGAGTTTCAGGACTTACTTTAAGGCCTCCGTATTCACGTGGTAAAATTTGAAACGAATCGGTACACCCAATTCGAAGAATACTTTCTCCAACGATTTGAGTTCTCAGATATATATATATGTATATGTATAGGCCGACTTTTTCATATCTTTTTGAGGTGAAGCGAAACACGTCGAGAAATTTAATCGGCGTCGATAACAGAGATTCTTTTAAATACTTACGTTACCGACGTTCGTATTTATATTGACAGCTGTGTCGAATTGTATTGGGTATTGTACTAAATGGATACTTCACACATTGTTTCCGTTCAATGATTATAGAGAAATCGAATTAAAACACCAGAAATCCCCTGGATTCTTGGTTTCTGATTCCCTATTTAACTGCAGAATGCCACTCTGCGCCATCTGTGATTTCAGTGATAACTAAATTTTGTCTGGTTGTTAACAAACCTCGTGTTACCATTGTTTTAGCATAGAAGCGCATGGGACACTTGTTTGCCTTCATCCCGTTTAAACGCGAATTTCTCGATTACTAGGTTACTCTAAATTAGTACAATTGTCTGACACTTTAATTTCACATATCGGAGCCTTTAACAATTATAGATTGACTGAAATACGTCAGCTTGATGCCATTTAGATTCTGGCCAAGGCTAAGCCAAACAAATGTTGTGGAAAATCCAAATTTTGAAACTTAGTCTAATTTTTAGATGCTCACAAGTCATGTGTCAAAGTTTTAGATAGTCCGGTCTACCTTATAATAGTACAATTCTGTACAATGAGGAAAATAATGGTACGGATTGAAAAATGTTAATATTGGAATTAAAATATTACCTGTACTTAAAAAGGACAGGAAATGCGATTCTACGCATTAGACAGTTAATGGTATTCTACATGTTTATTTATAACACCGATTTATATTCCACAATTTAATTGGAAACTGAACACGTAATAAACTCTAATACCGAAGATGAGGTGAAAATGAAAACTGAAAGATTTAATTTCACTCCTTATTTTAACAAAGTATTAATGTCCTAAAGACAAAACGAAGAATATAAAGAAAAATATCCATCAATAATAACAAAGTCGTCTGCGATCACAGTTTTATGTTCTACCGAAATAATGGTACAATTATTGTTGTAAAAATGCATAGTATGCCGGATTGAAATAATAGTACGGTAGTAAAATACTATAATAATATTACAGTTGACAACACTGGTTGATTCCCAAAAAACGAGCGATTTTTATAACGTGAGCGTAGACGGGCTCGGCCACGAGGCAGCCATTTTAAAAAACGTATAAAAATGGAGGAAACGTAGGTAAGGGTGGAGGTGTCCAGAGGAGGTTAGAAAGGTTCCTTTCTCTCTCTAAGCATTACTGCGCAAGTGTAGCATACTCTGTAAGATTTTGTCGACACTGCCCTATATTTCATACATACGAAAGAACTAAAAAAGAGATAAGAAAATGCAGAAAATAAGTATTCATCCGATCTAAAGAACTTTTTCAATGAGAAAAGAGAATCTTCGCATGTTTTTTACCATTCATCCTGTCGCTTATTTCCTGTACCAATACTCCTATGCGCGCGCAGCATACTTCCGGCAATGCTTAAAGAGAGAAGGTCCCTTTCTCTGTCTAACCTCTTCCTGACACCTGTACATATGCACATACTATAGCGATAACTCCTTCATTTCTATAAGCTCTATGGGCAATTTAGACCATGTATATTTATGCTTTGCATTGCTGTAAGAAAAAATAGTATAGGACCTTTCGACTCCCTTTTAAACAAAGAAGGCGCTGTATAAACCGTGTCTACCGTTTCTATTACACCCTGTATATGGTATAAGGCCAGCCAGCCGGCTTTTTAACCCTTTCGTTACGAGCGACTTTAGTCGGTAACAAATTCTGCCATATCTGTAGAGTATCTTTTGATTGTATTGACCCGTATTGGAATAATCATCCTAAAGGTACATTTTGAACATACGTAACACAGTTTGGCCATAGAGACGAGATGAGAAGATCAGCTATTGGGATAACTATTAATTTCTTAAATGTTTAAGGTTCGACGTTTTTTTGGAAATTAAATAATGGAATAATACGACAAAACAGTTGTTATTTAACACTTAGAAAAGTGTACATACAAGAGGTAGTCAAGGAGACGATGTTCAGGTGGAAGACGTAAGTTCGAGCACCGAAGACTGCCGAAGCGCAATGTGCCCCCTGCCGGCGCGGCGTCGACTTAAGGTGAAGTGAAACACGCCGAGGAACTTGATCAACGTCGATAAAGAAAATTTTTCTAAATGCCTACGTTGCCGACGTTCTTTTTTATATTGACAGCTGTGTCGAATTACATTGAATATTGTATCAAATGGCATACTACACCTGTCGTTTTCGTATAGTAAATATCAAGAAATCGAAGTAAAACTCCAGAAATCCTCTGGATTCAAGCTTTCTGGGGCCCTAATTGACTGCAGAGGGAAACCCTGCGCCATCTGTGATTTCCAGGTGAATTAAATTTTCATTCCGAGACCTCGTATTACCATCGTTTTAGCATAGAAGCGCATACAACACTTTTTTTGCCCTTATCCCGTTCAAATGCGAGTTTCTCGATTACCAGAGTGTTCTAAATTGTCGTAAAATTGTCCTGACCCTTTCGATTCTCATATCAGAGGCTTCGATGATTGTATATCGATCGAAATATGAGAGCTCGACGTCATTTTAGTTCTGGTCTGGGCTGAGTTTAAAAATTTTGTCAAAAAATCCAAATTTTGAATGTGTCAGGATAATTCTTAGATGTTCAGGAGCGATGTGTCAGTGTTTCGGACAGTTTGGTCTAATACCCTTAAAAAAAAGTGTTGTATTTGAATCGACTGATTTGAAGGGTGTTTCACTTCACCTTAAGTGGCAGTTGTCTGGAGGAGCGGATTGCCGTAATGAAAGGGTTAATGCCGTTTGCATACGTACCGGAAAAATCGGCGCTGGTATCGACTTTTCTGCCAAAAACAATGTAACATTCATTTATTTACATTATTATTACCAGAAAAAACCTGTAAAGACACCGGTTTTGTCAGTCGGGTGCAAACGGCCATAGGTGCGCCGAGCTACCAGGGAAGTCGCACAGAGGAGCCAATGACAGAAGTTGGCAAAAAGTGCAAACTTTAGTTTGTAATCAAATGGTAAATCGGTATCCAAAATCAGTACTGGTACAAATTGGCAATCTGAAATTAGCTACGATACCACGGTGCCCTGAAGGCTCTAGTGATAATAATCGAAATTTGTACTTTCTGTAAACAGAGCTCGCAACACTTGTAATTATTTGGTTATTACTTTTTCATAACTCGACGCGTACCAATTCTAAATTAGTATGGCATCGTTGGCTGCAGGTAAGCTTATTTTTTCTTCATTAATGTTTTTTTTTAATGTATGTATAGTTTGAAATATGTTTGAACTACCTATTTCTTCTTTTTTTTAATAAAAAAGATGTGAAGCTTTGGTTTACTTAGGTGTCTACCCGAGCCTTGTAACTAATTTCATGTTATCGTTAATACTGTAATCTATAATTTTAATAAATAAAACCTTACATATATATTCACTTTTTCGAATAAATAGCTGATAATCCAAGGTGTATTATTTTCATATATAACATCCTAATTCACTGACTTTAATGTTTTAGAATCACAAATGGAAGAAGGATCAAACAGGGATGACCCGTCCAATTAATTTTTGCGTTTTTCCCCACCATTATTGCAGCACTTTTCATTTAAACTGCTAAATACATGTTTCATGTTACCTGCCTTCAAATCATTCGCATCGTTAATTGTACAAAATATAAATATTACGCAAAAATGTGTATTAAGAAACTAGGTAGAGTTTGGTGCCATATATACAGGGTGTCTCATAATAGATAGTAAATCTCTCAAGGGATGATAGAGGGTGAAATTTTGAACTAGAAGTTCCTTTTCCATTTTTGCTCAGAACATTTTTCATCGAGTTATTAGTAGTTTAAGTTAATTAATAAGAATAAAACAGTTATAAATCACTCAATTTATTTAAAAATCATTCTTTAACTACATAATTAATCTATCAATTACCGATTGATCGATTAATTGAATTAATTGAATTAACGTAAACTGGCGCGTCACATTACCGACATTTATATTTATGTGGCAGTTTTTTACAGTCTACGTTGAGAATTATACGAAATGAAGCGTTCTATATGTCATTTCGGTAAAGTAATGATAAAGCTATCAATGTAAAACTGTCGAAATCCCACGAATTCATGACTTTTTATATTCTAACGGACCAACGGCGCCATCTGTACCGTTTAGCTGCGACTAAATTTTTGCTTTAAAAACACGTGTTACCCCTGGAACAAACTCTTGCAGTCGTTCGTGTACATATTTTCCATATTTTCCTATCTGACTCTGCAATTTTCCGTTTCTTTAGTATTCTGTATTGTTCGTGCTAGGTTCTGAAACTCTTGATTTTCGGTTCGAAGTGTTCAAAAGACGTAAAACATAAACGACGTGCACGGACGATACCATGTTGGTTCTAGTCCGTGATAAATAAAATAATTTTTTCATGAAAAACGAAATTTCATAAGTTTCAGGACCTACTTTAGGGCCTCCATATTTACGTGGTGAAATTTAAAAGGAATTCATACACCCAATTCGGAGAATACTTTTACGAACGATTTCACCTCTGAGATATATATAGGTAGATCCTATCATAACCTTAATATGCAATTCAGTTTATGCTGGTAATATTCTTCATAGTGAAGACAAAAAATTTGATTGAATACGTTTGCGATAGTACTAATTAACTGGCAAGGGTGGTGTGCATGATGTGACCAAATATATATAATATGTATAAAGACTTATGAACGGATGTTTAATTCGTATGTATGGTATATTATACGTATAAAATATTGGTCCAAATTCACAAACCACAAAAACTCTCCGTAATACTTGGAATCTCAATTAATCTGAGGAAAAAATTAAATGTTTTACTCTACAGCTAACATATTAGTCATATTACGTTTTTATAGCCATTATGATATTAGTTTATGTAACTCTAGGGAGGAATGCGACTTTATTTTAACAAACAGTTTTGCACAGATCTGATTTTATCGACATTAAAGAATTTTTAGCTGTCCTTGACACAACGTTAAAAAATATCGAACAGTATTTTTTAAGTGATGTCGTACGTAAGATCTCTATGGAAAAATTAGGTGAGTTATTAAAAGCCATGGCAAATCTCGTCTTATGTAATTTGTGGTAAGGATGATATTTCTGTGGCCATACTTCCGAAATAAGAACTTTATTGTACAGTAGTTAAGACATGAATTCTCGCACAGAAGACGGAAATCTGAATTGTGCATATTTCGTATGCAATTTATTTTATACTTGAAACCTAAATTACGTATACATCTAAGATCCAGGAAAGTTTTCCTATTTCCGATATTTAAGGTGAAGTGAAACACGTCGAGGAGTTTGATCGACGTCGGTAAAGAAGATTTTTCTAAATACCTAAGTTGCCGGCGTTCATTTTTATATTGGCAACTGCGTCGAATTTTACGAGATATTGTACTAAATGGCATATTCCACTTGTCGTTTTCATACAATAGTTATAAAGAAATCAAAGTAAAACTCCAAAAATCCTCTGGATTTATAATTTCTGACGCCCTAATTGACTGCCGAGGGACACCCTGCGCCATCTGCGAATTCCATGTCAACTAAATTTTCACTCCGAGACCTCGTGTTACCATCGTTTTAGCATAGCAGCGCATAAGACACTTTTTTGTCTTTATCTCGTTCAAATGCGAATTTTTCGATTATCAGAGTGTTCTAAATTGTCGTACAATTGTCCTGACACTTTCGATTCACATATTAGAGCCTTCAATAATTGGATATCGATCGAAATATGAGAGCGCGACGCTATTTTGGTTCTGGTCTGGGCTGAGTAAAAAAAATTTTGTTCAAAAATCCAAATTTTGAAATTGTCAGGATAATTCCTAACTGTTCACGAGTCGCGTGTCAATGTTATAAACATTTAGGTCCAATATTCTTGAAAAAAGAGTGTCTTATTCGAGTCAACTGTTTTGAGGGGGGTTTCACTTTACCTTAAAAGGTGAGACTAATTCTGTCAAGTTTATAATACAATAATACACGCGATAATTTATATAACAAAAGCATGGGTTACGCGTCTTTCTGCGCAGGCGCCGAGTACGAATATGGACATTTTTTCGTCCTGGAATATTTTGAGGCTCTTTTCTGTACTGTTCCTACTCATTTCCATTTGTTTACATCCTCCGTTGCAGAAAGGCCAACTTTATATACCGAAGACAGTCGCAAAAAGACGTAAACCATGCTTGCGTTACATAGATAATATTAACCAATTTTGTAAACGCTTTAAAAATAATTTACCTGTTCGTAACCGTGGCATTTACTGAATTATGTGATCAAGCCTGTATATTTCATAGTAATAACTATAAATAAATGAAATAGAAACGTTACTGGAAGTGATTTAAAGAATAATTTATTATTAAATTATAGTCAACCGCAACACTGACGGATTGTTTAATGACATTAAAATTGTACTTCGGAAATAAGTTTTACAAATAGTACATTGTGCACCAAGGAGGCAAAGTGGGTCTTTTTACCTTAAAAGAAAGAATTAAAATAAAGAAAAAAAGAGTAAAAGCCACGTT